AATTTGTTTCAACTTTTTGCAAAGGTGATAAACTGGTTTATTCTTATGCAAGAATTATCTTGTTTTCATTCAACCAACAGACACTAATTTTTTTTTTTTTTTGGCACCTTTTACTTTACAGGAAGATTTGTCCTGGGGGTGGAACCCAGGGCTTAAACACTGAGCCACATCTTCAGTCCTTTTTATTTTTTATTTTGAGACAAGATCTCACTGGGTTGCTGAATTGTCCAGGTTGGGTTAGAACTTGGGATTCTCCTGCCTCAGCCTCGCAGTGCTGAGATCACAGGTATTGGCCACCGTGCCTGGATAGACGTAGGCCTGATGATGGCCAGCATTCTGTCCACCTGGCTGAAAGCACAGTAGGGGAAGGACAGCGCCCTTTTTCAAGATAGCAAGGCTGCTCCCTCCTGGGCCTCAGAGGTCTGCCCCCTCCTGGCTCCTAGAGGCGCCCGCAGCCCGCCGCCCCTCCTCCGGCTGGCCGGGTCGGGCCGGGACACCAGGACGCTGGACGCCGGGCTCCAGGGTGGCCTGCGCTGGCTGCCCCGAGCGCCGGCTCCGGCCGCGGTCATCGATACGCTGCTGGCGGCCCGCTGGAGCTGCGGGTGGACATGGACGGGGTCCAGGTGGACGTGGACGGGGCCCAGGTGGACGTGGACGGGGCCCAGGTGGACGTGGATGGGGTCCAGGTGCCCGCGGGGCGCTGAGGCTGCCTGGGCCAGCGCCCCGCCCTCCTCGGGTTTCACTCAGGCCCTGGCTGTGTCCAAAATCCCCCCACGTTGCTTTCCTGTCTTTATGACTCTGGTCATGGACATGTGACACAACGTCCTGTCACTGCAGCTTCTTCTTCTTTTTTTTTTTTTTTTTTTTTTTTTTGTCCTTTTGAGACAGGGTCTCGCTGTGCAGCTCAGGCTGGCCTTGAGCTCACTTTGTAGCCCAGGCTGGTCTCGAACTCGCAGCGATCCTCCTGCCTCAGCCTCCCGAGTGCTGGATGACAGGCGTGTGCCACCACGCCCGGCTTTAGCCATGATCTTATTGCTTTATTTTGTGACATGGTCTCGCCAACTCCCCAACCTTCCCAGGCTGACTTTAAACTTGTGACCCTCCCGCCTCAGCCTCTTAAATGCTGGAATGACAGTTGTACAATTTTTATAAATATTTCTCGAAAATAATTATAATATAGCATGATTCCATTTTTTTCTTTTTCTTCTTTTTCTTGCTTTTGTGTTTTTCCTTCACTATTTTACTCTACTTGGGGAAGGTATTTACTTTATTGCTATTCTCTAGATTTCCCTTAGAAGTCTATCATTCAGTCAGATGGTGCACAACTGTAGTCCCAGCATTGGGGAGGCTGAGGCAGGAGGATCGCCATGAGTTTGAGGCCAGCCTGGGCTACAAAGTGAGCTCAAGGCCAGCCTGAGCTGCACAGTGAGACCCTGCCTCAAAAAGACAAAAAAAGATCTTCATTCCGATTTCACAGGTGTGCAATTAATAATCTCTCCTTTCCTGTTTGTGTGTATGTTGGTGTGCGTGTGTCCATGTGTGCACAAATTCAAACCAAACCTGGGCAAATTAGTAACTTAACAAAAAACTCTCTCTCAAAGGAAAAAACACAAAGGGCTGGGGTGTAGCTCACTGCCCAAACTCTGAGCCTGGTCGCTGGGATTTAAAAGAAAAGTTGAGACAAGATTTTGCTCAGCTCGCTAGGCTGGCCTTGAACTTACAACCTCCTGCCTCAGCTTCCCAATTGCTAGGATTATTGGCTTGTGCCACTGTGCCCAGCTGAATCTTAGTTTTTTAACTGCAGTCATGTGCTGCGTCTTATATATACGTCAGCCTTCTTGTTGATGTCCACTGTGTTTAATTATTTTATAAACAGATTGATGACTTAGAAATCCTACATGGTTACAATTTCTGCACAATGTACCTTTCTTACATTCCACATCTTCTGAATTCAGTTGTATTCATCCCTATATACATCCTTGAGTAGCTTTCTCACTGAAGGTCTGTTTGAGGTATTTATCAGTCCTAGAAATGCTTTGTATTTCCTGAGTACAAGAATTAAATTATTGCTTTTTAGTTGCAATTGCTTAATTTCTTTTCATCTTTTTGGAAAATATTATTTTCTTTCCTTTGGTTCCTTTTGTTTCTGATAGGAAATCTGCGAGTATTCTCACCGGCATGGCTCTGTAGGTAACCAGCTGTTTCTACAGTCTTTTCTTTGGAGTTGTTGTTTTTGTTTGCTTTATTTCTGTAGACATAAACTGAAGATTTGTTTTTGTTGTTTGGGATTCTTTTTGTTTTCAAAATCTGAGGATTCATGCTCTCAACAATGCTGAAAACGTCTCCACTAATCTGTAGCGTTCCAGGACTAGGGACTATTTTTTTAAATTTTGAAGCAGGGTCTCAAAAAAACCCCTCCCATGCCCAGGCTAGGCTTGACCTTGTCATCCTGCCTTAATTAGAAGCTTAAAAGCTAATTTCTCTCTTCTCTCTCCCAGAGCCCCACAAGGCAGAGTGGGACCCCCCATTCCTGCACCTTCTGTATCTGGCCATGTTTCTGTACTTTGTTGATTCTGAGTAAGAAACAGACCTTCAGAGCCATTGGTTCTTCCTCCCTCTGTGTTCAGTCTCTTGTTTAGTCCCTAGATTGACAATTTCTATTGATCGCTATAGTTTCCTTTCTAGATCTTCTGTGTTTTGTTTTCTCTTTTTAAAATTTTCTGTCCATTTCTTCATGGTGCCATTCTGAATATTTTCTTTTTCTTTCTTTTGAATATTTTTTTTTTTTTTTTTGTCTTTTTCCTTTTTATCGGTACTGGGGATCGAACTCACGACTACCTGCTTGCAAGGCAGGCGCTTATGCCGCTGAGCTAAATCCCCAGCCCCTCTTTTGAATATTTTCAATTCTTTCGTGTCTATGAGAATTTTAACTACATTATCTGGCCATGGTGGTGCACGCCTGTCACCCCAGCACTCAGGAGGCTGAGGCAGGAGGATCGCTGCGAGTCTGAGACCAGCCTGGGCTACATAGCAAGTTCAAGGCCAGCCTGCCCTACACAGCAAGACCCCGTCTTAACAAAGCACCCAGCCAACCCAAACCCTTTCTCAAACTCGGAGCAGCCCCGAGGCTGCCTTTGGGGAGGACCCTTGTTGCAGCGAGACTGTAGCACGTGAGGGTCCCTGTTGCTCAGCTCTCAGCTCCGTGTCCTGTCTGCCTGTCCCCGTGCACCGCGCAGCTGGGGACAGAGCGGACAGGCGGGACGCTGGGTGAATGGTGCCCCTATGCTCGGGCTCGGTGACAGATGCGTCCTTTCTGTGGCTAATGAGGATGATGACAAGATGCTCTGGGCTTCGGGCGTGGGCAGCAAGGCCCGGGCTGAATGGCACAGTGTGTGCTGGGCACACGGGAAGCTCGGAGCCGGCTCGGGCCTTTTGTCCTTGGGACTTTTCATCATGGGCTCCTAGACGGCCTCTGGCTCTCCCAGGGAGATTCTGCTTCCAAAGTGCAGGAGTAAAGAGGAGCAGGGGCTGGGACAGCCGGGCCCCTACCAGGCCAGGTTGGGAGGACGCCGGGGATGGAGCCGCCAGAGTCCACTGCAAACGCATGGCCTGCTGTGATGCGTCTGCCTTGCATATTCCATTTACTTTGTTTTTGGTTGTTTTGAGACAGGGTTTCACTTCGTAGTTCAGGCTGGCCTCAAACTCACAGCGATCCTCCTGCCTCAGCTTCCCCAGTGACAGGCCTGCGCCACCCTGCCTGGCTTGCATTTCAGACAAACAACAAAATTTCCAGTACAAGTATTTTCCCTATGTTGCAAAAGAGAGGCATCCACACCGGGCGGGGACAGGGGCCTTCGGAGTGTAGGAGCCACCGAGTGGCTGGGGACTTAGCTCAGTGACAAAGCACCTGCCTAGCCAGTGCAAGGTCCTGAGTTTGATCCCTGATACCAAAGAAAAAAAGAAGCCCTTGAGGGCAGGCACAAGCACACACTCACACTCACCTTCACAGGCTTCCCTTGTATCAGGGGGCTTGGTTCCAGGACCCCCTCAGATACCCAAATCGGTCAATGCTTGAAGCTCACGTTCCTTATGTATAATGTAATATTTCTTTCATTTTTTACACCACTTATATAAAACAGCACAGTCTCCCAGAATGGTGGCTCACAGCACCCATCCCTGCCCTCTAGAAGGCTGGGGCAGGAGGATCACAAGTTCAAGCTCCAAAACCCGGACAACTTAGCAATTAGTGAAACCCTGCTTCAGAATTTTAAAAAAATTGAAGAGGGCTGGAGATGGAGCTCTGTGCAAAGGCCCTGGGCTCAGGTCACAGCACCGATGACCTAAGCCACATACCAACACCTTGTCTCAACATTAAAGAAGGGGCAGGGCTAGGCCTGCAGGATCTGTGGAGAGTGCAAGAAACACAGCTCTGTCCCAATGCTGGGGCCTGTGGCAGAAAGGACCATTCAGGTGGGTTAGGTGACTGACCTTGAGAGGAGTCATCCTCGCCACTGGGTCTCAGTGTCAGAGCCCAGGGTTCCCATAAGCTGGGGCTGGAGGGTGAGAGGCTGACACAGGCTAAGACACAGTGCTGCTGGCTCTGCAGATGGAGGAAGGGGCCACAAGCCAAGGGCTGCAGGCACCACTAGGAGCCAGGATAGGGATTTCTAGAACTGTAAGATAATGCATCCGTGTTTCTTCAAGCTACCAAGCTGTCACAGTATCTGTAGGAAACAGTTCTGTCCATAAGTGTACCCTGGGCAGCCATATGATTGGTGACCGGGAGCAACAGTGTGACATCCTTTTATTTATTTTAGACAGGATCTTGCCATGTGGCCCCAGAGATCCTCTTGCCTCAGCCTTCTGAATGTGGCATGACGCGCTACCACAGCCGGTTGTGAAATCCATTTTGCCAACTGCATCCCAGCTTCGTGCTCCGACCTGACCTGTCCCTTCCCCCTGGCATCTAGGTCACCGGCCTCATGTTATCTCTCGGAGCCATGCAGGACCTGCAGCTCGTCCCCAGGGCCGTAAAGGAAGCCCCCACTGCGGACTCCGTGTGCTGTCGTGGGGCGGTGACCGCAGCAGTGGCCTCCAGCATGATCGCCCTCGGCCTGGGAGTCCTTTTGGGTAAGTGACCGCGGGGCCTGCTGGGCTCACAGGTCAGGCAGTTGGGGTAAAGACGCTCCCGTGGCTCCCAGAATCAGTGACCGGGCTGGAGCTGCAGGTTGAGGGAGGGGACGCCTGGGAGGTGGCCGGGTGGGGCGCGGGCGAGAGGATGAGGCCCTTTGTGCTTTCCCAGCAGAAGGGCTTTGAGGAGGGGGATTTTTCCTACTGGGCTGAAATGGAGGTAAATGGATACCGTGACACGAAATTGTTCTCAATCTTGAGAAATTTGAAACAGTACCAGAAAGAAAAATTAAAAAAACGAGTGACCACACGGGGCGAGATAGTGCACACCTGTCACTCGGGAGGCTGAGGCAGGAGGATCGCCCGTGTGAGCCCAGCCCGGGCAATTCAATGACTGAGCAAGAGCCTGTCTCAAGATAAAAGCTAGAAGGGCTGGGGGTGCAGTCAGGGCGAAGGCTCAGGCTTCCATCCCCAGCCCTGGGGCAAAAAGAGACAGCTCGCATCTCACCACAGCGCAGGGAGTGGGGGGAATCCCGCGCACCCCGAAAGCTCTGTGTGCCTTTCATGTAGCACACGGGCAAAACCAGGGCTCTCACGGGGCTGGTGTGGCCCGCAGCCCTCCTCTCCACTCAGGGCGTCCAGGTGGAGCACAGCGCCGAACTCCGGGGGATCCGCTTCGCCAGGGCGCTGCAGCGCGACACCTCAGACTATCACCGCGGGCTCACCGCGGCGCTGCAGAAGCTGGTGCGGGCCTGGGAAAGGGGCGGGACATTTGGGGGCGTGGTCACGGTCTGGGGCGGGGCCTGGATCTAGGGGCGGGGCCTGGGTCTAGGGACATGGTCCATGCTGGGCGTGGCCTGTATCCAGGGGGTGGGACCAGTGTCGAGGTGTGGCCGGAACCTAGGGGCGTGGCCAGGGTCTGGGCGTGGCCAGAATCAAGATGTGGGCGGGATTTGGGGGCAATGAAGTGTTGGGCAAGCTGGCCAGGACCTAGGGGGCGTGGCCAATGTTGGGGCGTGGCTGGGTGAGGCCTGGCACTACTGTGCTGATGCCAGGGTAGGGGGGTGTGGTCAGGATCTGGGGCGTGGTCAGGGCAGGGGTACGCGCGCACAGGCTAGGAGTTCCAGTGGGGGCGGAGTCACGCAGGCGTGGAGGCAGTGCACGCCTGTCCTCCAGCACTCTGGGAGGCTGAGCAGGAGGATGGCAAGTTCCAGCCCAGCCTGGGTAACTTAGCAAGCTCTTGGGAGTGTTAGGAGGCAGAGGGGACAGGAACCAGCATGTGTTTCCTGTCCATGGAGCCCGCCCTGAGGGACCTTCCGTGTCTGGCATCTCTCCCTGAGCTCGGGGTTCTCACGGTCCGTCCACACTGCGCTCTTTTCCTGGCTGGGGATGATCTTGCTGTGTGGGCGTTCACCTGTGTGTGGACACTCCGGGCTGTTCCCACTGTCGAGCGAGCTGCTGTGGACACGAGTGTGCGCCTTCCTGAGACTTTGCTTTCAGCTCTTCGGGATTCATTTCTTTTCACTGCTCAGTAATATTCCATTATCTGGGTGAACCACAGTGTGTGTATCTATCCCTTGATGGAAAAACATTTTTTTTCTTTTGTCTTTTTGACACAGGGTCTCGCTATGCAGTTCAGGCTGGTCTTGGGCTCACTTTGTAGCTCAGGCTGGTCTTAAACTTGTAACGATCCTCCTGCCTCAGCCTCCCGAGTGCTGGGATTACAAGAGTGTGCCATGCACTGGCTCAGAAGAGCTTTTTTTTTTTTTTTTTTCATTTTAAAATGGAAGAAGTCTCTTTAAGTTACTAACCGGGGCAGCCTGGTTTCAAATTTGTGATCCTCCTGCCTTGGCTTCCCAGAGTGCTAAGATAGCAGGCTTGAATCACCATGCCTGACTGGAGCAATATTTTTTATATGAATAACTCTGAAGTCCTCCCCTCTCCTGTGCTGGCTCTGTGAATTCACTGCATTTACTGAGTGCTGGCAGGTGATGCCCTACTTAGGACCTACTCTTTGACCAGGTCCCTCGAATGCAGGACAGGCCTCTGCCTTTGTGGCAGGAGCCATGCTGCAGGGCTCAGCTTGACTGGTGGTGTCTCTGTTGTAGTTTCTAAGTAGTTTTCAGGAGACGGAGTTAGAAACAAGCTGCGTTGGCTGCACGGTCCTCAGTTACAGGTGAGTTGGGGCTCTGTGCAGGTAAAGAACTTGGTAGGCATCAAAGAGATACCAGAAGGTTATAGAAGATTCTAGAAGATGCTGGAAGATTCCAGAAGCTTCTGGAAGATTCCAGCAGAATGAAACTCTTCCATCTCCAAGGCTCTTTTTTCTTATGCCTAGGGAAGGGAATTCCAGTGTCCTGGTGCGTTTCCGGCTGCACTTTTTGCTTCGCACCTTCCAATCACTGAGTCTGGACCTGGAGGAGGAATTATTGCAGCGGGGTATCTGGGAGAAGCTTCGAGAAAGTGGCATCTCACTGGCTCCTTATGGCACCATTGTGTCGGCAGAGCTCACAGGCGAGTGGGTGGGAGAGACCGAGACCCGGTGTGATGGCCGGGGATGGAGGCCTTCTCAAATTGTATTAAACAGCAGGTTTTGTCAGACACGATGGACCCGCCTTCAAGTCCAGGAGGATTTCAGGAGGCTGAGGCAGGAGGATTGAGGATAGAGCCCAGCTCGGATGACGTAGCAACTTAATGAGTCCTGTCTCAAAAAGGACGGGATGGGGCTCAGTGTGAAGGTCCTGGGCTCAGTGCCCAGTACTTAGAAAGCAGAAGATTATGTTCACGTAACTCTTACTTGATTTAATAAAACTGTGGGGGAGCAGTGACAATGGAAAACTTTTTTGGTAACAGGAATCGAACTCATGAACTTGCATTTGCCGGGCAGCCACTTATTGGAAAACTGTTTATAGCATCTGTTACAACTGCTCCACTTTATTGTTTGCAGTGCTAGGATGGAGCCCAGGGCCTTGCAAGGCAGTCAGGGATTTGCCACTGAGCCACAGCCCAGACCCGAGCCATTTTATCACTAGCTCTTATTAATCCCCTCGTGTCTGACATATGAATTACACCCAGCATAGGTGTGTCAGAAAAGCCACAGCACATTGCATAGGATTTGGCTCTGTCTTTGGTTTCAAGCACCCCTTGGGGGTCTTAGAACACATGCTGCATGTAAGGGGGGCTCTCTATGGGAAAGAATGGGTGTGGCCACGTGCCAATAAAATTTTATTGGCACCAACAATTGACTGTGAATAAAACTTTATTGGCACCAACAACGGACTGTGAATAAAACTTTATTGGCACCAACAATGGAGTGTGTGCCAACAAAATTTTATTGGCGGGGCTGGGGATTTAGTTCAGTGGCATAAGCACCTGCCTTGCAAGCAGGCGGTCGTGAGTTCGATCCCCGGTACCGATAAAAAGGAAAAAGACAAAAAAAAAAAAAATTTTATTGGCAACAAAAAACAATGGATGGTGTGCCAATAAAACTTTATTGGCAACAAAAATGGACTATGTGCCAATAAAACTTTATTTGGTCTACAATCATCGATAACCGTGTTCTGCCATAGAAATGAATAAATGATATACTCTACACTAAATGGTGCACAGGGCATGGTGGTGCACCCTTATACTCCCAGCACTTGGGAGGCTGAGGCAGGAGATCACTATGAATTTGAGGCCAGCCTGGGCTACATAGTGAGTTAAAGGCCAGCTTGGACTGTACAGAGATTCTGACTCAAATGAACAAAAAATAAAAAAAGTCAATAAATAATAAATAAAATTGCATGATGCAGTGATTGGAGACTAGACAGTTGTCAGATTAAAGATTTGTCACTTGGACCCATGCTGTAAGCCCCATGGAGTCATCAAGACGTGGCCTGTGTGGTCAGGGAACACAGTGCTTTGTTTGACTTTATCTGAAATTTTTTGGTGGTTCAGTTGAGATAGGATCTTGCTTATGTGATTCAGGCTGAGCTCGAATTTGAGATCCTCCTGCCTCAGCCTCCCAAGGGGCTGGGATGACAGCTGTACCCACCCCACCCCCCATCTGGTTTTAATTCTATCTGACTTTGGTTGGAGTTTGGGTGGTCCTGGGGTGGTCAGTGTACCTCACCACTGCTGCTGTCCCCAGTAAAAGGTCACCAGGGTCCCCCTTGGTGAGGCTTGTCTCCTCTGTCCTGCTTAGGAAGCTGGAAGGGACCAGGGGCCGACAGGGACCTAAAATCAGGTAGGTTTCTTCAGGTTTCTCTCTGTGGCAGGTGCAGTGGGTGCAGCCAGGTCCCCAGGGCCAGGCGTCACCAGAAAACCTCTCTCCAGAGGACAGAAGCGGGTGCCTGGTCTTGCCCACAGCAGGGGTGACATGAGACTGTCGCTGGTCCGAGATTTATTTACCGATTTATGCATTATTATTTGTAGTGCTGGGGGTGGAACCCAGGCCTCTGCGTGCCGGGAAAGTCACACAGACTCGCCCCTGCCCTGCAGCCCCAGGAGACAGAGTGGTGACCCGTCCTCTTCTCTGTCCCCAGGTCACTGTCCCGAGAACGCTTTCTCCTGCCGCAGCGGCCAGTGTGTGACCAAAGTGAACCCCGAGTGTGACGACCAGGCCGACTGCTCTGACGGCTCGGACGAGGAGCTCTGCGGTCAGTGGGTGCCTGGCAGGGCTGGGTCCCGGGGCTCCCTGGAGCTGGACGGGGCGCGGAGTTCTTGTGTGAGATGTGAACAGAAATCAGGCTACAAAGGTCATCCCAGCACCCAGAGGCTGAGGCCGGAGGATCGTTGGGAGTTTGGGACCAGCCTGGGCTACAAATGAGCTCAAGACCAGCCTGAACCCCATAGCGAGGCCCTGTCTCAGAAAGACAAAGATAAAAACAAACAAACAACCAAAACCAGAATTTTGAAAGTTGGGAAATTTACAGTAGGCAGATGTGCTGTGTGGGGCTTGGACAGACAGGGTTCAGGGGGTGGGACGGTGTCCTCAGACTCTAGGCACCTACTGGGAGGGCCCTAAAATCACTCTACGGTCGGTGAGCAGACCAGATGTTTGTGGTTGCTGTATTTGGTTGTTATTTTTCAGGTATTGGGCATTAAACCCAAGACACTGAGCTCCATCCCCAACCCTTTTTATTTGTATTTTAAAAAATAAGATTAATTTTTAATTTTTATTTTTTTAGGGACAGAATCTCACTATGTAGTTCAGGCTGTCCGCCAGCTTGTGGCGATCCTCCTGCCTCAGCCTCCTGAATGCTGGGATGACTGTCAGGCACCCCCACACCTAGCTTTATTTTTTATTTTGTGACAGGCTCTCTATAAATCATTGTTGTCCAGCTAGAATTTGGTGACCCTCCTGCCTCACCCCCCTGGAAGTTTCCGGGAGGCTGGTGCTGGCGCCTGAGCCCTGGTGCGGGCACAGGGTGCCAGCGGATGCCACCCTGTCTTGCAGACTGTGGGCTGCGGCCGGCCTGGAGGGCGGCGGGCCGGATCGTGGGCGGCGCAGAGGCCGCCCCGGGCGAGTTCCCCTGGCAGGTCAGCCTGCGGGAGCACAGCGAGCACTTCTGCGGGGCCACCGTGGTGGGCGCCAGGTGGCTGGTGTCCGCGGCCCACTGCTTCAACGAGTGAGTCCGCCTGGCCGGTGGCCCGCCTGTGTCCGCCCTGCCCTGGTCTACTAGGGAATCTCTCTCCCTCTCTCCTGCCTTTCGGTGCTGGCGATTTAACTCAGGCCCTGCACACCAAACCACGTCTCCAGTCTTTTTCGTGTTTTTCTTTTTTTGAGACAAGGTCTTGTCACCTGGTTCAGGCCGGCTTTGAACTCACTGTGCAGTCTGAGAGCCTCGAATTTGCAATCCTCCTGCCTCAGCCTCCCGAGGGCTGGGATTACAGGCACGCACCACACTGCCTGACTTCCAGGCCTTTTTGAAAATTTAGTTCGAGCGCCGAACGTGATAGCTCGCACTTGTAATCCCAGCACTCGGGAGGCTGAGGCAGGAGGATCCCTGCGAGTTCGAGACCAGCCTGGGCTGCAAAGTGAGCTCAAGGCCAGCCCGGACTGCACAGCGAGACCCTGCTTCCAAAAAGTAAATAGAAAATTTGTCTCTAGGCAGGGTCTCACTAAATTGCCCAGCCTTGGCTTGAGAAAACCGAGACCCTCCCGCCTCGGCCTCCCCATGGGACGCCCCTTTGCAGCGCGCCCAGCTCCCCCTGCCCGCCCCCGCAGGTTCCAGGACCCCGCCGAGTGGGAGGCGCGCGCGGGCTCCACGGCGCTGAGCGGGTCGGAGGCCGGCGCGGTGCGCATGCGCGTGGCCAGCATCGCCAAGCACCCGCGCTACGACGCGGACACGGCGGACTTCGACGTGGCGGTGCTGGAGCTGGCGCGGCCCCTGCCGCTCGGCCGCCTCATCCAGCCCGCCTGCCTCCCGGCCGCCTCGCACGCCTTCCCGCCGGGCAGCAAGTGCCTCATCTCGGGCTGGGGTTACCTCAAGGAGGACGTCCGTGAGCTGGGGTCCGCCCGGGGGGTGGGGTGGGGGAGGGGAGGGTGGGGGAGGGGAGAGGGGGAGGGGAGGGGGCGGGGGGGGAGAGGGAGAGGGGAGGGGGCGGGGGGGGGCGGACGCCGCTCCTGCTGCCTCACATGCTTCCCCCAGAGCTGCATCCCCGGCCTGCTTTTATTTTAATTTTTTTATTCTGAGACAGTAAACGCTCGCCAAGTAAACTGCCCAGGCAGGGCTTGAACTTGCGAGACTCCTGCCTCAGCCTCCCACAGTACTGGGATTATAGCTGTGCACCACCGCGCCCGGCTTTGCTGTCCGTTATGTGTTGCCCCAAATCCTACTTGTGGGATGTTTGTGGCCATGCACAGAAATGCCCGGGAAGGTACTGAACTTGGTGGCCGCCAAGCACCTGTCCCGGGTAGACTTGGCGCAGGCCACCGTGGAATTTGTTTCTGTTTCTGTTCTTTTGAGCCGGCTCAGGCTGGCCTCGAGCTCACAGCGATCCTCTGCCCTGCTCCTTCTGAGGGCAGGGGTTACGGTGCACCACGGTGCCCGGCTTTGTTTTGCTTCTGTTTGTTTTATTGCGCCCTGTTTTGTTTTACAGCCCATCCATTAAGTGGTGTGTGGCTCAGGGTTCCACTGCGGTAACACTACACCTGACAGGATCAGTTTGTGAAGAGCAAAGGTTCAGCTGGGCATGGTGGTGCATGCCCGGCATCCCAGCACTCTGGGAGGCTGAAATGGGAGGATCACACTTCCAAAATCCACACGGGGCAGTTTAGTGGTTTAGGGAGACCCTGTCTTAAAAGAAGCCATAAAAAGGCCTGGGGCTGTAGCTTAGTGCAAAGGCCCTGAGGTCAGTCCCCAGACCCAACAGAAAATCAAAACAAAAGAAAGGCACGAAACAGGGTTACATGTTGAGAGACCCGTGAAAGCGGCTCAGTCAAGGCAGAGTTGGAGAGGAAGTGACCTGTGGGCAACAGCCTTAAGAACAGGGTTCTGGGAATGTGAGCCTTCCTTGGAGACCTGGCAGATGTGGGGCAGCCAGACAGGTCAGGGGTCAGGGGGAACTCCAGAGGGCAGGAAGAGGCTGGCATTTATGTTGGGGGTGCATGGTGCAGGAGAGGACATTCTCATCACACCAGAAGTGTGTCAGGCTGCCCTGGTCTAGAACATTCTAGAACATTCTAGATTAATACTGCCTGATATGGCAGTCATGGCATTTCCAGCACCAGGGGCTCCATGAGGGGAGTGATGGACAGAGTTGGGGTCCTAGCACCTGGAAGCAAGGAGCTGACACCCCTTGACCTAGGGAGGGAGAGGAGAGAGGAACATGGGGAGGGGAGATGAAGGATGGTGCCCCTTAGTTGCCCTGATGAGGAGCATTACCAGGGGCACCTGTGGCGGGTTTGTCTTTTGCTGGTTTGAGCTGGGTGCTGCTAGCAGCTGTGTTTACAGCTAGGGGAAGCTGAGTTTTAAGGAAGAGACTTTCTTTAGCCTCCTATCTCAAAGTGGCTGCAGATGTGCCGGTGCTCTCATCCTGTTTTTCTCTCCTCATCTGGGCAGTGGTCAAGCCAGAGGTGCTGCAGAAAGCCACTGTGGAGCTGCTGGACCAGGCTCTGTGTGCCACCCTGTACGGCCACTCACTCACAGACAGGATGCTGTGTGCTGGCTACCTGGATGGGAAGGTGGACTCCTGCCAGGTGAGCCCTGTTTCTGCCCTGTGGACCCATGTTTCCTGTCCACATAATTTCATTTATTCCTTCCTGGGAACGGAACCCAGGGCTCTTGAGTGGAGCCGGCTCCCCAGCCCTTTCACTTTTCATTCTGAGGCAGGGTCTCAGTGGGTCTCCGCGGTGTCCTGCCTGGAGGGTGGGGAAATGGAGCAGGAGACCGCTGCCTGAGCTCAGGTTTCCATATTGAGAGGAAACCGGGAAGTAAGGAGAGTTTAACAGCGTGAGCGCCACAGCCAGGCGCAGTGATGGGGGCTTGTAGTCCCAGCGCTGCACTGGGGAGGCCGAGGCAGGAGGATCTCTTTGAGTTCAAAGCCAGCATGGGCTCCGTAGGGAGACCCTGTCTCAGAGAGAGAGAGAAAAGGAGGGAGAGGGAATGAGAGAGAGAGACAGACACAGAGACAGACACAGAGAGAGAGGAGCCCCTCAGGCTCAGCATATGGGGCCACCTGTGATCCCAGCTGCTCAGGAGGCTGAGGCAGGAGAATCTCAAATTTAAGTTCAGCCTGGGCAACTTAGTGATGTACTGAGACCCTGTCTCAAAATGAGAAATGAAAAAGGTTCAGTCCTTCAGCCCACAAAACCAGAAGAACACAGTCTGGCGAGCTGGGTGTGGGGAAAGACAAGGCCACCAGGCGGGCTGAGGGGGGAGGTCAGGCAGGCTGAGGACCTGACCGACCGCAGCTGCAGCTGTCAGCCCGGGCGGGCGGCGGGGTGTCATTAGAGGTCTGTGGCTGACGGGCGGAGGGACGGAGGGGATGTTGTTCCTTCGGGCCGAGCTTCGAGCTTCGGGCTGTGGTGTCAGAGTTAAGAGCCCTGTCAGAGGCTCCGAAGCCCAAACGTCTTGGTTGTTGGTTTTGTTTCCTCCCACGGCGGGGAACTCGGGTGCCCATAGAGATTTCAGTCCCGGTGCCGGGCCCCCTCTGACCCTCCGGTTCTGCGGGTTCCCCCATCTCGTGTTTCCCAGGGCGACTCGGGAGGGCCCCTGGTCTGCCAGGAGCCCTCGGGCAGGTTCTTCCTGGCGGGCGTCGTGAGCTGGGGCATTGGCTGTGCAGAAGCGAGGCGTCCAGGGGTCTACGCCCGGGTCACCCGGCTGCGGGACTGGATCCTGGAGGTCACTGGCACGGGGCGCTCCCCGCCGGCCCCCACCCTGACTCCTGGCCCTGCGGCCGCCAACACCACCCCACTCACCAGCTCCAGTCCCAGTGCCCCCGCCAGAGCCACGCCCGTCCCCAGCACTGCGCCCCTGGACCCAGTCACCACCGCTAAGCCACCAGGTACCTGCAGGTGGACAGGTGCAGTCACCGTGGTGAGTGCTGCCTGACCAGGCCTCACGCGGTGGGCGCTGGATTGATGACATCCACCGGGGTCCCTGGGTGGGAGCCAGTCAGGTGACAGAGCATCCATCACCGCCAATTCCAGAGCATCCCATCAGTCCAAAAGCAAGACCATCCATCCCATGAGGTCACCTGTCCCCTCCCGGATTGTTGCGTCCTGTGTCGAATGGGGTGACCTCAGCCGGGGAGCTGGTGTCCTGGAGGCCCGTTTTGGGGCGGGCAGTGACCCCTTGCCCCCTGATTGTTCCCCTGCAGAGTGCGGGGTGCGGCCCGCCATGGAGAAGCCCACCCGCATTGTGGGCGGGGCCGGGGCCGTGTCTGGCGAGGTGCCCTGGCAGGCCAGCCTGAAGGAGGGCACCAGACACTTCTGTGGGGCCACCGTGGTGGGCCAGCGCTGGCTGCTGTCTGCCGCCCACTGTTTCAACCAGTAAGGCCACGGCGGGGGGCGGGGTCCGGGTCCCCTTCATCCTGCACCAGTGCCCGTCAGATCCTCGAGCGTTCAGAGGGCGCCCACATGGAGGGCACTTCCTGTCCCCAGGCGTCTGAGTGATCCTCAGCAAGTCAGGGTGGTCCCAGCTTTGGGGGACACACTGGGCCTCACCAGGAGGTGGGGACGAGGCCCTTTGTCAGCAAGGTGGACCCCACTCAGGCAGGATTGACCTGTGACAACATTTATTTAGTTTTTGGTCATTTTGAGACAGGGTCTCACGGTGCAGTTCAGGCTGGCCTTGAACTTGAAATGATCCTCCTGCCTCAGCCTCCGAGTGCTGAGTGCTAGGGTTACCAGTGTCACTAGCATGCACTACCACGCCCAGCAATCTGTGACATTTAGAAAGCTTCGGGGTCTTAGCATTCTGGGAGGCTGTGGCAGGAGGATTTCAAATTCTAGCCGAGCCTGGAAACTCAGAGTTAGCGAAACCCTGTCTCAGAATAAAGGGGCCGGGGATGGAGCCCAGGGTGAAGGCCCTGGGTTCAGTCCCCAGCGCTGCAGTGCACGGATAAATGGGGCGGTGTCTGTGTCACTGTCACGGGAGGCTTCCTGGGGCAGAGGTGTGGGCGACGGTGCTGGCAGCTCCCCTCTCCCGGCAGCACCCGGGCGGAGCAGGTGCAGGCCCACCTGGGCACCGCGTCCCTCCTGGGTGTCGGCGGGAGCCCCATGAAGCTGAGGCTGCGGCGGGTGACACTGCACCCGCGCTACAACCCGGGCAACCTGGACTTCGATGTGGCCATGCTGGAGCTGGCCAGGCCCCTGGTCTTCAGCAAATACATCCAGCCCATCTGCCTCCCCCTGGCCATCCAGAAATTCCCGGTGGGCCGCAAATGCATGATCTCGGGCTGGGGCAACACTCGGGAAGGGAACGGTAAATGCCCGACGCAACCGGCAAGGTGGGGCTTCACTATGCAGGGCCAGCCCTGGGGGAGGGACGGGCCACCTTCCCTGAGCCCCAGACAGCCTCCGGCAGAGGAGACCCAGGGCTCCACGCCAGGGTCTCTCAGGACTTCTCTCAGGACGCTCAGCGCCCCTGGTGCAGGGCTCTCTAGCTCGGAGGCACTGGCCTCGCTCCTCTCTCGCAGCCACCAAGCCTGACGTCCTGCAGAGGGCGTCCGTGGGCATCGTGGACCAGAACACCTGCAGCGCGCTGTACAACTTCTCCCTCACTGACCGCATGCTCTGCGCCGGCTTCCTGGAGGGCAGGGTGGACTCCTGCCAGGTGGGCGACCCCGGGGTGGCCGGGGGTGTGGATGGGACCCTGGATTTCACCAGCACTCAGGGAAACCCAGAGGGGATTCCCGCAGGTGTCTTATCCGTGAGACCCCAATCCACGGGGGCTGGGGGTGCAGCTCAGTGGGGAGCGCTGGCCTAGCAGGTGCAGAGCTCCGGGCTCCGTGCACAGCACAAGAAAGAGAGGAAAGAGACAGAGAGCAAAGCTTAGCAATGCATGAATAAAATCATTTCTTTTCCACCATTGGAGATGGACCCCAGGGCCTTTGCACTGAGTTAAATTCCAGCCCTTTTAAATTTTTATTCTGAGGGGCTGGAGATTTAGCTCAGCAGCATAAGCGCCTGCCTTGCAAGCAGGCAGTCGTGAGTTCGATCCCCGGTACCGATAAAAAGGAAAAAGACCAAAAAAAAATTTTTTTATTCTGAGACAGAGTTTTGCAAAGTTGCTAAGGGGTCTCGTCCCGGTTTGCAGTCCTCCTGCCTCAGCCTCCCAGAGTGCTGGGACCACAGGCTCGTGCCACCACACGTGGCTCTTGTGTCATACAGCAAAAGCACCAGTGACGAGTCTGAGTGGAGACGTGTGGAGGGGGTCACTTGGCGGGCGGGGCTGCAGCCAGGCCCCCTGGGTACCCCTAGACAGGCCTGTGGGGAGGCTGCTGGTGCCCACAGGGAGGCACCCACAGTCCTTGTCTTGCAGGGTGACTCGGGAGGTCCCCTGGCCTGTGAGGAGACCCCGGGCGTGTTCTACCTGGCGGGGATCGTGAGCTGGGGCATCGGCTGTGCCCAGGCCAAGAAGCCTGGCGTGTATGCGCGCATGACCAGGCTGAAGGGCTGGGTCCTGGACGTGATGTCTTCGGGGACCCTACCCACATCAGCCCCGTCCACCAGGAGGACGCTGGCCACCACTGGCCACCCTGCCAGCACAGCCACCAGCCTCGAGGCCCTGGCGGTCACCACCAGCAGACCCTCCACACACGGGGCCACCAGCTGGGCCACGGTCCCACCTGCCCGCACCACTCTGTCTGCTGTGGGCACCACCACTAGGGGACAGATGCTGCCCCTGGGTGCCCCTGAGACCACCACGCCCTCCCAGCTGCCAGGTGCCAGGAGACATGGGGGACGGGGAGGGTGGTGGTGTTCACGTGAATCTGGGGCGGCTGAGATGACATTCATTTCTCAGAAGTCTGGAGAGCACAGGTGCAGTGTCAGGGCCCCTCTGCTTGGTTCACACGTGACTTCCTCCCGTGTCCTCTCATGCTTGTCCCTGTACGGAGCCCAGATTGGCCCTGACCACGGGATACTCCTGCCTCAGCCTCCTAGGCTGCTGGGATTAGATACTCGACCACCTCCACGCCCAGCCCTCCCCATTTCGTAACCACGGCAGAGCCGGGAATGGGGGTGCACATCTGCAGTCCCGACACTGGGAGGCTGAGGCAGGAGGATTGCAGGTTCAAGTCCAGCCTGGGTGACTTAATCAGACCCTGTCTCAAAAAACAGAAAGCGCTGGAGGGTGGCTCAGTGGCGGCCGCGGTTCCATCCTCACTACTGCAAAAGGAAGGGGGCAGAAAGACCGCAGTGCGCAGATGAGGGCCCGCTCCGTGGCCTCCTGTTTCCTCTCCTCTCTCTAAAGCCCGCTCTCCTTGCCCTGCTGCCTGGCTCCCTGTCCGGCTGGGTGGGTTCAGCCTGCTGCTGGAGGTGACCTTGGTGGCGTCAGGGCTGGTGATGGATGCGTGAGCGTGGACTGATTGTATCTTTGTGATCTTACTCCAAAGAGGCTGGGAGCTGATTTTTTTTGGTACCGGGAGTGAACTCAGAACCTTGTGTGTGCTGGTCAGGCTCTGTGCCGCGGAGCCACACCCCCCAACTGCTCATGGTGGTGATTTGGTGGCACTGCGGATGGAACCCTTTCTATTTTGCACTGAGCTAAGCGCCCAGCCCTTTTCTTTTTTGACACAGGGTCTGGCTAAGTCACTGAGCTGCTCAGGTTAGCCTTCCAAAGCGCTGGGGGGGGGGGACCGCCACGTGCCACGCTTGGGAGCCATTTTTACTAATCCGATTGACAGGAATCTGCTTCACTTGGAGGCCAATTTAAAGCCCCAGGAACTGTGGGCGCCCCCATGTGGTGGAAGTGAAGAAATCAGGGGGCGGGGAAGCCCTCATGGGATACAGGTGGCTGGCATTTTCCCAGGACCGGAGCTGGGGCTTCTGTGGCATTGGTTGTCCGAGGTCACCTGGGTGTGTGCGGGAGGCTCTGCGTTTCCTGGGACTGGGGGGGACCATGAGCAGGCAGGCTATGATTTCTCCCGTCCTTGGGTGAGGACAAAGAGCTTACTAAGTTTTCAAACTGGCCTTGAGCTTGTGCTCCTCCTGCCTCAGCCTCCCAGAATCCTGTGATAACAGCCGTGTAGCACTGCGCCTAACTTGCCTTCGCTTTTGGAGGTCACCTTTGCATTTGCTGAGGCTGAGGCAGGAAAGTATTTCCCACACCTGGGCGGGGCAGCACGGTCGTGGGCGGGCAGCGCAGAGGGCTCCAAGGTAGAGGTGAGACAGGTACCAAGTGCTGGGAGGGGAACCAGGGGTCCTTAAAGCCACCCATTTTGAGCTGCGCGGGTGCGTCCTGAGTGTGTGCTGGGACCACAGCAGGGGGCGGTTGCCCCGTGGAGTGGGAAGGCCGAATTCCCGAGGAGGGATGCCGGTCGCTGAGACCTGGGCAGGGCAGGAGCCAAGGTCCTGGGGCCGGAGCCCGTGACTGCGTCCCTCCCCGCAGACTGTGGCCTGGCGCCCGCTGTGGCCCTGGCCAGGATCGTGGGTGGCAGCGCTGCGGGCCGCGGCGAGTGGCCGTGGCAGGCGAGCCTGTGGCTGCGGCGCCGAGAGCACCGCTGCGGGGCCGTGCTGGTGGCCGAGAGGTGGCTGCTGTCGGCCGCCCACTGCTTCGATGTGTAAGTCCCCGGACACGCCCGCGAGGCCCCCAGCCCAATTAATGCCGGAGGGCGGGTCGCAGGTGTCAAGGGCCTGGCCCGGGGACGCCAGGCTCAGGTGCCGCCTGCATCCGAGGTCCCCGTGGCCACCGGGGCCCCTCGCAGAGCACGAGGCCGATGGGCGAGGCCGCGGGGTGGAGACCCCTGAGTTCCCGGCCAGCCCGGGGCAGGGCGGGGACCCCGAGCGCCGGGTTCCCCGCCGACCTGCGCCCGCCCGCCCGCCCGCAGCTACGGTGACCCGCAGCAGTGGGCCGCCTTCCTGGGCACCCCGTTCCTGAGCGGCGCCGAGGGCCAGCTGGAGCGCGTGGCGCGCATCTACAAGCACCCGTTCTACAACCTCTACACGCTCGACTACGACGTGGCGCTGCTCGAGCTGGCCGGGCCGGTGCGCCGCAGCCGCCTGGTGCGCCCCATCTGCCTGCCCGGCCCCGCGCCGCGGCCCCCGGACGGCCCGCGCTGCGTGATCACCGGCTGGGGCTCGGTGCGCGAGGGAGGTAGGGGCGGGGCGGGGCGGGGCAGGCGCGGGGGGCGGGCCCCGAGCACCGCTCCGCCGCGTCCCCACCGGCGTCCTCGCCGCCCGCAGGCTCCATGGCGCGGCAGCTGCAGAAGGCGGCCGTGCGCCTCCTCAGCGAGCAGACCTGCCGCCGCTTCTACCCGGTGCAGATCAGCAGCCGCATGCTGTGCGCGGGCTTCCCGCAGGGCGGCGTGGACAGCTGCTCGGTGAGCGCGTTGCGATGCCCGGCAGCCCGGCGCCACCCTTCCCAGCAGCACGGCCCGGGCAGCTCCCCGGCCCCGGGGAGGTTTCTCTCCACAACCGTTTATTGGGTTCCCAACAGCCAGGTCCACGGCGCGTCCCCATCCGGGGTCGGGCTGGCTGAGGCCGAGTCCCTAGCACTGAGCCCGCCCGGAGCATTCACTCAGGCCCTTCCCGGAGATGCCGGCGACCCGAGCCCGGGGCTCTTCTCGGCCCCGGGCTGCTGGGGGACGCACTCGCCCTAATGCTCTTTCTCCTCTTCCCCGGCAGGGCGACGCTGGCGGACCCCTGGCCTGCAGGGAGCCTTCCGGCCGCTGGGTGCTCACTGGGGTCACCAGCTGGGGATACGGCTGTGGCCGGCCCCACTTCCCGGGTGTCTACACTCGGGTGGCGGCCGTGAGGGGCTGGATAAGCCAGCACATCCAGGAGTGACAGGCGCGGGGCTGCCAGCACCACAGCGCCCGCACAGGGCCGTCCAGGCTGCAGGCGGGCGGTGGGGGCGGGAGGACTGGGGTGCAGTTTGCGTATTTTCTTACAATAAACAGGCCCCTGCCCTTAGCTTGCTGGACGAGCATCTTTCTGTCCCTGGAAGGTGTGGGGGTCGCAGGGAAACAAGCCGGGGGACAGTGGGATATTAGCTTTTGGTGCCTCGATGGTGACACCTCATTTCCCAGCCTCTCCCTACCCCACCTCTATTTGGTATTGGGGGTTGAACCCTGGGTCTTTCCACGAAACTGCTACCACATCCTTTGTTTTGTTTCTTAACAAAGGGTATCTAGAGATCTTCCTGCCTCAGCCTTCCACAGTGCTGGGTGACAGGCGTGGTTCAAGCTTCCCTACTGTATTGGCCTCACATTGCCTGTGATCCAGCACCCCGGGGGCACAAAGGTGAAAGATAGATGTCACCAGAGAAGGTTGGGGCCCCAGGATGAGTGACACCTCCTTCCAGACACCTTCCCCAGGGAAAGTGCAGGGGTTTTCTCTGCCCCAGGCACAGCAATTTATTGGTGCATCCTCAGAAGGCCACAGCTAAGATGGGGTCTCCCCCTACACCCCAAGGTCCAAAGGAGGGTTCTTGGCCCGGGCTAGAACCGGGTGCACCAGGGCAGGGGCTGGTGACTGCCGGGCCCAGAGAAAGTCCACCGAGCTGCTAGGCTTGGGCAAAGTCAGAGACCCCCAAGCCAAGTGGCACAGGTTGCAGGTGTGAGTCCCAAATGTCCCCTCACAGTCGTGCCATTCTCGTACACCAAGGCAGGCAGCAGGCGTGTGTTGGCTGGCACGTGCCTCACAAAGTACATTTATAGAGATGGACACGAGGTGGGCACGAGGGAAGACTGGGGTGGACCCCAGGCTGGCTCCCCACCTCTTCTTTACATGTTGGCTCGTTCCCGTTGCAGTCTTGAGTTATAGGCCCGGGACACGGTGTTCCAGGCGTCCATGTACCGGTCCATACACATGGCGATGCATTTCTAGGTGCGGAGAGAAAAGGGACGCAAGGCTCAGTTCGAGTCCCCGTACTGGCTCACCAACGGGCCATGCGCCTTACCGCTCTGGTTGAGACTGCGCATGCGCAGTCCCCTCCCTATCCGGGTTGCTTTAGCCCGCGCACGCGCAGAAGCTTCGCCGCGCGCTGCTCCCACAACCTGCGCACGCGTAGAACTCGCGCGGCTCCGTTAGCGCGCGCACGCGCAGACGCCTCCGCGCGTGGGTCGAGACCCTGTCAAGACCCCAATCCCGAACCCCGGAGAGATCTCACCTGTTCCGAATTGTCCAAAGAGCTCCCCGGCTTCCCAATGCACTTCCGGAAACACTTGTCGGTCATCCTCTGTGGACACACGCGAGACTTCAGCCACGATGCTTGCCCTTGCCCGGGGTTAACCGGCCGCCTCACCCCCATTTCGGCGCACCCCGCACCTGTAGCAGCTCCTGCGCGTTGGCCACGGCAATCTGGACCTTCACCTGCTCCATGATGGCACCCGGATCCAGTTTCCCGCCGCCGGAGCCCCCGAAATCGGAACTGAAGCCACTTTCCATGGCTCCGCGAGGTCAATCCGGCTGCAGACCAAGCACGCCGAACCCTCCGCCCTCAGGTGAGTTGCCCGAGGCACCACGGGAAGTGTAGTCTGGGCTACAATGTACTACCATAAGGCCGCGCGCGCTGCAGGAAGCCCGGCCACCCCAGGTACCATGGGAAACCGAGTCCCGAGTATAACATCCACAGCCGTCTCCCAGGCGCATGCGCAGCTCTGTGGAGGCGTTGGCAGGAAACTGGCTTTCCGCAGCTAGGCTCGCTCCCGGGTCGTAGGCTGCGCACGCGCAAGATTCCGCGCAGGCGCACAGGGGCCCGAGCGCTGCGCCTGTATATCCTAGGCGACTTGATTGTTGAGGGAGTGGGCGGGCCCCAAGCCCTGGGAATGCTTCCCGGCTTTGTGTCAGATTGGAAGCAGCAGTTCCAATTAAAATGTTGATTAAAGTCCATCCCCGGTACCAAAAAAGAAAAGGATTGGAGCGTTGAACAAAAGCTTCCAGTCACTGGCTGTGGTGGTGCTCACCTGTAATCCCGGCAGGAGGGTCCCCCGAAAGTTTGAGGGCTGCCTGGGCTTCGTAGTTCAAGGCCAGCCTGGACTACAAAGCGAGACGCTCCCCCCAGATACAGAATTCAACAAAGCGCCATTCCCCCAAACAAACAAAAAACCAGTTTGGAGTTGTCAAATGTGTATTACAAATTTTGGGGGGGAGAAAAAAGTCCCACACGTTTGGTGTGCATGTTAAAAACCCCAACAAAACCCCCAGAGCGCAGCCCCAGCCCCGCGTCCCTCGCAGGCCGGGCGGGCGGGCGGTGTCCACGCAGACACATTCCCAGAGCAGGTCGGCAGTGTCCACGCAGCCCCGGCCGTGCTGGGTTAAAACGGGCTGCGGGAACTGGCGCGGGGCCAGGACGGGCGGCGCTGCAGGGGGCTGAGCTGAGCCAAGCTGTGCACACCGGGGAGCCCTCGGCCCCACGGCCACCACCCACTGCGGGACCGGGACGGCACCCGATGGCAGGGCTGCCGACCATCGGCCTCCAGCGCTGGCTGCCCGCGCGGCCCCCACCTTCCCCCAAGCAAGGGCATTCGGGGAGCCCAAAGGGGTGACGGGGCAGGGTGGAGGAGGCCACCTCTGAGATCAGGAGGGTTCCCAAGGAGAGCAAGCGGACGGGGACAGGAGCCAGGGAGAGCCGGGCAGATGCGGGCCGGGTGAGCCCAAGAGCCCGCTTTCCGGAGCCAGCAAGCAGCGGCTCGGGCGGGCGTCTGAGACTCAGCTGCACTTTCTGAAGGACGCTGGCCACTAGTGACTACAGAGCGCCCTGGACAGGTGCCCTGTCCTCCTGACCCCCGGGAGGATGACAGGAGGCCCTGGAGCTGCACCCAGGTGAGCTGCACACTGACGTATGTAAAAAAATAAATATCCATTAAAAAAATAACTTCTGTGTATCTACGTGGCAGGGCCAATGGTGATGGCAGGAAGGGCCGGGGTGGGGGCCAGGCACCAGGGCTGCAGAGGGGAGCCGTCCACGTGGGGCCACCTGGGCCAGGGGTCTGGCTGGGTGACGTAACCTCAGTGGAAGTCACGGAGGAAGTGACACTCACTACACACGTGCAGGAACCCAACAGGTAGCACAGAGCTCCCACAGGTGGACCCAGGGCTGCCCCACCAGGTGTGTTGTGGGGGCCCAGACACCAGCTGCATGTCCTCCCGCCCTGTCCCCTCCCTGTCGCAGTGACAAAGCCTGGAAAGGCAGGACCCCACCCAGGCCGCCTCCTCTCCTGCTGTGGGTCTTGCAGGGCCAGGATCAGATCCATGGAGATGGCTCCAGGACCGAGGCCCAGGAAAGGGGGCCGCCTGCCCGGCAGGACCCTAGTCACCAGGGATGTCTGGGCTCAGGCCACTCCCCGATGCTCCCTTCAATCCTGATCCCCGGGTGCCACCCAATGACGACATGTGGTGTCCGCACCAGGTCGGAACCTGGATTCTGATTTTGGTTCTGAAAAAGCTTCACGAAGCTCGCACCCCACTCCCTGATGGCAGCCCTGTCCTCTCGGTCTCCAGGTTCCTGGCCCTGGGCCTGGAATTCATCCTAATGGGCACCGAGGGGCGGCGTGGGGGACAGAAAGTCTGGGCAGCACATGGAGTGACAAAGGGACAGTCCAGGGACACCACTGATGGGGTGAGACCCCCGTCCTACACGCTGGTGGTTTGCTTAAAAAGGAAAAAGACCAAAAAAGAAGAAAAAAATCCGGCTGGAAATGTGTCTACAACTAATGAAGGTCATGATGGCAAAGCAGCCCCCGGGTCTGCGAGAGAGCGTGAGGGCGGCCGGGTCACATGAGGCACCAGCCCCTGGTGGGGTCCGAGGGTCGCCCTGGGAGGAAGGCAGGGAGGCCTCCTCCATGCCGACCAGCCTTGGCCGAGGCCTGCTGGGCCAGGTGGAAGCTGCCGCTGCCACTGCCGCCACTGCTGCTGCTGCCCGAGCCGATGCCACTGGAGCTGGAGCCGCTGCCCGGCGTCTCCTCCACCTCCACCCGCCGGCGCTTGCCTCGGCCTGGGCGCCCGGCCGTGGACACACTGCTGGTGCTGCTGCTTGAGGTGGCCCTCGAGATGGTGACCCGGGAGGACGGGGTGGGCATCAGCTTCAGCCTGGGGGTGGCACGGGGAGGGCGTCACAGGCGGCCCCAGGGCTGGGGCCCCGGCTGCCCCACGGCTCCCGACACCCACCGCTCCTCCTCGCCCTCCAGCAGCTTCCGGTAGGCGCTGATCTCCACGTCCAGGGCCAGCTTCACGTCCAGCAGCTCCTGGTACTCAGCCAGCTGCTGCTGCATGGCATCGCGCATCTGCGTCATCTCCTGCTCCTTGGTGGCCAGGAGAGCCCGGAACTTGTCCTGCTCCCCGGCCAGGGCCGCCTCCAGCTCCCGGGTGCGCTCCTCGGCGGCGCTCGCCTGCGGAGGGCGGGGTGGTGGCCGGGTCAGCACGGCCTCCCGGGTCCCCAGTGCCCACCCGACCCGCGCCTCTGCTGCGGCCCCATGTCCGGCCTGGCTGCCAGCTCCTGCCATGGCCACGGGGCCGCGTGGGGCCGGGCCCACCTTGCTCTGGAGGCTGGAGAGCTGGAAGCCGAGGGACTCCATGCGCACGCGCGCCTCCTGCAGCTCCTCGCGTGCAGCGCTGGCCGCCTTGTCGTTCTGTGACCGGAGCCGCGGAAGACAGGAGGCCAAACTCGAGCAGGATCAGCTCTCAAACTTTATTACGTACAGCGAACCGGACCTAACAAGGTCCGCCACCCTCAACGTTGGTTCCTCTTCCGCCGTTGGGGGCAGGAACAACCTCTTATAAGGGGAAGCAGTATCCAATCACAGAGAAGCGCGCCTAACAAGCTGATAGGCTAGCGTCACGGGTAACTGGGCAGATATGACAATTTGGCGGGCTTGTTCAGGCCGGGAAGAACCCGGAAGCAGGAAATGGGCGCCATCATAGGCGGCTTCCCACATCTCCCCCTTTTTTATTTATTAAAATAGGATGGTCTGTGGGTCCCTCCAAGGTGTCTATGACCTTGTTGCTGTTAGACACCTAGGAGTGGGCCTACCTTGTAGGCCCAGGCATGAGAGAATGTAGAGGTCTATACCCTGCTGTGCATCACCCTGTTTTGTGCATATCCTTGCGCCAGGACCATGCTCAAGGTGAGTGGTTCATTTTTTCAGAGGGCCAGGCTTTTGTGAACCGAACCTAGATGCATATAGACATTCATTCCTGCCTTCCCCCCAACCTTTGGGGCGGATGGCACTGCAGTACCCTTGGTCTCGCATCTCAATGCCAATAATTTGACTCCGGGAGGGACCCCTGGCCTTATAGGCCATATATATCTGAGTGGAGCCTGTCTTAGGTTGACTGGGAGGGCTTTTCCCGTCTTACCCGTCATTGGCTTGCCCACTCAGCTCTTATAGCTGATGTTCTGCAATGTGAAGGAGATATGCGGCGGCCTGCTGGCCTGATGGGTCACCTGCTGCCATTTGCATGGCTGCCATAGCTGTGATCTTAACCTGCTGCTGAGTTTGTATGAGGCGATCTAACAAGCATTTAATAACCACAAGCCCTACTAGGATAGCCATGGCAATTAGCATAATCAAGGACTGTTTGATTGATGGTGTAAACCCTGGGTGAGGCGGGCGAGGCCGCCGAAAAAGGTGCCAATGTGGGCGGGTGGTGCCAAGGACCCCAAAGATATTGTGGTGGTTCTGTGGAATCTGAGCATATCACAGGGGTGATTAATAGGAACCCACAGAATAGAAAAAGCTAATAGGAACCCACAGAATAGAAAAAGCTCCAAACCAGACATTTTAGTTTGTAGATGGTCTCGGGCGCTGAGCGTCGGTCCCAGAAGGGTCGAGTTGACTTGTGTCCGCGGGCTTATCCTCCTGTGCTTTATCAGGAACTGGTGGGGAGTTTACTACTCGTGTCAATCTTTCCGGGACCCACAGCGGTTCGCAGCCTGGTTCCTGTGGGAAGACACAAACCGCACCTCGGGTCCAACTAACCACTGGATCCGGGCCCATCCATTGTCCTGTAAGGACATCTTTCCATCTCACCAGCCCTTTGTCGGTTGGGGACGGATTGCTATGTTCCATGGCAGGGGAATGATTTTTATGATTAAGGTTTAAAAAATTTATGGTAAAGAGTGCCAATGATATTCTTCCTTTGGGCGTTAGGCCGTGGCCACCCAATTCACGGCACAGGCATGTCCACTCTTCTAAGGACCTATTTTTGTTAGTTCTTAGGACATCACGGCACTCCTTAGTGCACTGTTCAAAAATCAATTGTTTTATGAGAGGGTGAGCCGCCTCAGCATCTGGAAAAATCCTGTTAGCGGCCTCAAGCATGCGGGCCACAAAGTCTGAAAATGGCTCTCCCTGCCCTTGTATAATTTTTGTAAGGTGACCCGTACGTTCTCCCTTTCCAGCCAGCCGTTTCCAGGCCTGGAGGCCACAGCGGCTAATTTGTTCATAAACCTGGCGAGGGTATTGAGTTTGATCTTCCTCAAAGGCTCCTCGCCCTAATAGCATATCCCTGTTCCACTCTCTCTGGTTATTTTCCCTGTTGGCTGCCGCCTGCTCTACACAGAATTCCTCATTCCAGGACTTCCAATCTAAATATTGTCCGGGGGAGAGGCAGGCCCGTGCCAGCTGGGTCCAATCTCCAGGAGTTAAAAGCAGACCTGCCAATGCCTCTAAAAGCGCCATGGTAAATGGCGCATTGGGCCCATAAGCTGAAACTGCATCTTTGATAGTTTTAAGTTGTTTAATTTCTAAGGGCTACCGGGAATGCATGGAGACCGGAACACTCAAAAGGAAGCCGCGACCATACCCTCCGGTGGAAGGACCGTGAACTTGCCAAAGGGCGGAAGGGCTTAAGCTCCTCCCGTAAGGCGGAGTAGCTCGGGCAGGGTGGTGTTTGGTTCCCCTTTTTATCTTCCCGAGCCCTAAGTTCCTCTTTTAACGGTGTAGGAGGGTCATGCTTAGCAAAGACGACCTCCTCTTCTGAGCCTTCCGAATCCGAATCAGAATTAGAGCCCTGAGGGTCCTCCGGAGACCCACAATCGGCAGTGGCTCCGGGCTCCTCTGAGCATTCCGATCGAGCTCTATCAAAAGCCTGTCGGGCTGTATTAGCGAAGCGAAAGCAAAACAGATGCAAAGGGAAAAGAAAAAAAAAAAAAAAACCGGCGTCCACTCGTGTGGCGCTCAAAATCTGTTAGGTGCGTCCACCCAACCCAGGTGACCCAGTACTCACCTGTCCTGGGAACCGCTGTATCTCACGTAGCTGATCAGGGTGAAGAGAAGAGGTGCTCGCGGCCTTCTGTTGTTATTGGGCCAGGTCCTCCGTCGTACCGCAGGCGACAGCAATCGCACCTCCCGGCCGAAGAGGCACGTCGCTGAGTCTTTTACCTTTTTCCCCGTACGGGCGGCCACCAGATGACCGGAGCCGCGGAAGACAGGAGGCCAAACTCGAGCAGGATCAGCTCTCAAACTTTATTACGTACAGCGAACCGGACCTAACAAGGTCCGCCACCCTCAACGTTGGTTCCTCTTCCGCCGTTGGGGGCAGGAACAACCTCTTATAAGGGGAAGCAGTATCCAATCACAGAGAAGCGCGCCTAACAAGCTGATAGGCTAGCGTCACGGGTAACTGGGCAGATATGACAATTTGGCGGGCTTGTTCAGGCCGGGAAGAACCCGGAAGCAGGAAATGGGCGCCATCATAGGCGGCTTCCCACAGTTCTGGTCGGAGCTCAGCCTGGCGTTCTCCAGCTTGGGGGGACATAGGGGGGCGGTGAGACGCGGGCGGGGGCGGCCGGCCCCGCCCCCCGCAGCACCCCGGCACCTTGGCCTGGTAGGTCTGCTCCAGCTCCTGCCGGTAGAGCTGCACTTGCTGGTCGTGCTGGCTGCGCAGCTCCTCCAGCGCCTGGGCCATCTTGAAGTCGTACTCCTGCTGCCGGCTGCTGTCCACCTCCACCAGGCGCCGTTCGTGCCGCCTGCGGGACTCCCGCACCTCCTGCGGGGATTGGCCAGGTGAGCCCGGGCACAGACCCCACCCACCGGGGTCCCTAGGCCCAGCTGTGCAGCTCGGGGCCTCCCCGGAGCCCTGGCCCCAGAAGACCCACAACATTCACAGGAGCCCAGCGTCCCTCGGTGGACGGAGGGGCACACGGCGAGGTCCGTCCCGTGCGGGAATGTCCTGGGCTGTGACACTCGCCACAGCATGGAGGACCTTAGAGACGCTGTGTCCAGCAAGAGACGCCTGGCAGGACACAGCGTGGGGTTCCGGACAGGAGGGGCAGGACCGTGAATGCACAGACAGGAAGTAAAGCCGGGCATGGTAGTGCCCTCCTGTCCTCCCAGCACTGGGGAGGCTGAGGCAGGAGGATCGCTGGGAAGTCGGGACCAGCCTGGGCTACCGTGAGCTCAGGCAGCCTGGACTGCACAGCAATACCCTATCTCAAAATAATAATAATAATAATAGTAATCCAAGACAGAAAGCAGCCTCAGGGGTGCAGGCAGCCGATGGCTCCCAGGCCCGGCCCTGCAGTGATTCTGGAGACCGGATCTCCTAGGCAGTGTGAGCTGACCACGAACGCACTGGGTGGCCCAGGCTGCTCAAATTCTCTAAGATCCTCCTGCCTCGGGTCCTGAGCGCCGGGGTCACAGGTGTGCACCACCACGCCCAGCTTGTAAGACCTGTTCAATGTGCTGGATGACTGGACTGCTAGGTTAGTGTGAGCTCACGGCATGGAGACCGCATCCCCCACAGCTGTTAGCTAAGAGGAGAAGCGGGTGTGTGTGTGTGTGTGCCACCTGTCATCCCAGCTCTCGGGAGGCTGAGGCAGGGGGTGGCTGCAAGGGCAAGACCCCGTCACTGCCCGGCCCTGTCTTCCCCACTGCTGCCCTGAGGACTTGGGGCCCAGCCTTGGGGACTGGGCTGTCAGCACTGCCTCCCCTTTGCCTCGGTGTGTGTTTGTCTGTTTTAGAGACGGGGTCTCACTGTGTAGCCCAGACCGGCCTCTTTTGCAGCCAGCGGAGCTGTGCCTGGCCGCCAAGGACACCCACCTGCACGGTGCCCTGTGGGGACTTCAGCCAGGGCCCTTCTGGGGTGCGCTCCTGGCTGTCCTCGGGGCAGTCTCCCAGCTTCCCTTCGCCGCTCCCTGTGTGGGCCTCTTCCTGTGTCCCCTCCCAGGTGTCTGCCGGGATCTCTTTGGAGGTCTCCTCCCGGGGCTCCCCATGGGTTCTGTTTTCATTTCGGGCTCCCGAAGGGCCGGGCGCCCTTGTCTTCTGGCAGGCCCAGGCTCGCCCGCCCAGGCTCTGTCTTCATTTTGGGCTCCCGCAGCACAGTGCTCCCGGGCTCCCTCAGGGGTCTGGGGTCCTCCACGGGTTCCTTCTCAGGTTCAGGTTCCCTGGTGGCTCTGTTCCCGGGCTCCCTGAGGCCTCGGGCAGCCCTGGCAGGCCTCCTCCCCGGCCTCCTCCTGAGTCCCCTGGCACCTCACCCTCTCTCTGAGCCCCTGGGGAGCCGGGCACAGCCCTGAACCTGCACGCCCATCCTCCCTCCAGGCCCGGAGTCCCCGTCCCCCAGCACTGGCTGCCACAGCAGCCCCACTCCGGAATTTGGGGTGCGCTGTGACCTCACCATGGCTCTGGTGGGCAGGGCCAGCCAGAGGAGCCCGTGGGCTCAGGCCCCACCCATGGCCGGGACTCAGGGACCTGGTCACTCCGAGCCAGCCCCAAGGGTCCCCCGGGGCCAGCGGCCCAGAGACATGGAGGCTGCAGACTGGGGAAGCGGGGCCCGGAGTGTAGATCAGGGTGACGGCCTCTGATGTCTGGATCCCTTGACCATCAGTGGGACCCCTGTGGAAACAGACTCTGCAGATCTCACTGGGGTGAGGGATTCTGGGTTACTCAGGAGTCCCCAAGTGCAATGACAAGTGTCCTTAAAGACACTCATGGAAGGGGGACACAGAGAGAAGAGGCCAAGTGAAAACAGGCAGGAGACTCGAGGCACAGACCTGGGGAGCCCCTTCCCGTGGCCTGCGGGAACCGTGGTCCCCAGGCCTGGGGAGGGGACAGAACCGAGTCCCTCCTGTCACCAGCTGGAGCAGCTCAGGGAGCAGCCCGGCAACCTCAAGCACCTCCTCCCCCTCTGATGCACAGCCGGTCGGGTCAGTATGAGGCATAGTGTAAGAGCTGTCCTGCAAGCCGGCCCGCCTGCTTGTCCAAGCCGAGACCACCAGAGATCAGAGTCTTTCAGAGTTCCTACTGCCATTGCATCCGGCGTTATCAGCTGGGAAGATGAACGTGCTGACCTCTTTGGTCACTGGTCATGGCCCTGTGGACAGAGCAAGGGTCTCTCTGGGTTGTGAAGGGAAGCTGCACCCTTCAAGTCCCCTAAGAGGTCTGGAGGAGGATTCCTCACTTGCTGCTTGAGTGGCCCACACTGGACCCCAAAGGGAGGAAAACACAGTCTGTCTGTCTGTGTGTCAGCCTGCCTCCCTTCCTGTTTCTGGTGAGACCCCTGGAGGCATCCCAGTGAGTCTGTCTGTCAGTGCTGCTGGGCTCCAGGAGAAGGGGAATCTGATTCACTTTGTTAGTCAGGAGCAGTCTCCAGGAAAGGAGCTTGGGATGTTTAACCTCCTAGTGTCTGTTGAGCGAATGTGTGAGTGGGTGGTGTGGACGTCGAGAACCGCAGGCTGCTCCGTCTGTGCTTCCTGGTGGCTGGCTGGGGGCTCACTTGCCATTCTGTGGCAATCAATGTGGCAAAACAGAAGCCTCGGACCTTCCTTAGCTAAGCTGTGCCTGAGCTCCGTGGGGGCCACGGCCAGGCGTCTGCACGGTCTCTCTCGGAGGGGCCCCCACCCTTTGTCTGTTGCGCCCTTGTTCAAAGGCTCAGGACACATGGACGGATGTCAGAATCAGAGGTGTGACCTCACCATGGCTCTGGTGGGCAGGGCCAGCCAGAGGAGCCCATGGGCTCAGGCCCCACCCACGGCCGGGACTCAGGGACCTGGTCACTCGGAGCCAGCCCCAAGGGTCCCCAATTAGTCAAAACCTACAGCCCCGGACTGCATGGAAAAAGGCTTCCAAAAAGTTAAAAATGAAACCAAACCACTCCTTGCATCTCAAACAAAACAGAAAAAGAAAAAGGAAAAAGGTCTGTTCTTCCTGAAAATCCCACATTGGCATCCCACACTGGCATCCCCGTTGGCCGCCACAGTTGCCATCAGCAGTTTCAACCCAGCTCCTGGCTCATCTCCTGCCAGCTATCTGATTAGGTGCCCATCTGGTGTTGTAACTCCCCTAAAAAGGCCCTGAGATGAAAAACAGGGCAAGATGTTGTCTTTTTTAAAAGAAGCGCTTTTATTTTAGCTGGCCCAGTGACACAGTGCAGATGGAGTTTGCAAAGCTGTGTGACTGAGTTAGAATTTTGACTGATTTTTATAGCTCATTTACGATGAGCTCTCATTGACCACTTAAGTACACAGCGATGAGAAACAGAACCAAGGTGGGCCTTTGTTCCCCTTTGCTTGAGGTCAAGGCATTTCACAGTGGGTGGTTAGAAGAGTCCTCCTTCTGCCTTTGGGTGGCTCCTGGCAGCCAGCCCCCCTCCGCAAAGACCCCAGTGACGGACCCTAAAGTTAACTGACCTGGACTCCACCTCCCAGAGGTTCAGAAACTCGCTCACCCTCTTTGGAGAAGCCCTCATGGCTGACCTTGCTGGTTTCCCAGCACAAAATATCACTGCGCTTCTGATTAATGACCCCAGGCTGTCTGCTGGAAGACACAGAAGCTCTGCTACCAGTTTCTGGTTCCAAGAAGGCGATGCCACCAATCTCTTGGAGCTGCTGGCTTCTATCTGGACCTTGAGTTCTCAAAACCAATGCTGCTTACCCAGACTGTCGGCCCCCGGGAGCGTCCGTGGCTGGCCCGTGTGGATGCTTGGGTCCAGGCGCTCAGGGCTGCATCCCTGTTTGGCCTTCGTGCTCCGAGAACCACCGTCCTGCTGATCAAGGAAGCTGGCAAGCTCCCCTTAGCCCGAGACCTCGCTCTGTTAGGATTGGAGTCCGACGGGCTAGAGATGCCGTGGTCACTGTGGGCAGCACTATTTTGGCTACAGTTTTCCTGTTGCTGTTTGGACACTGCTACCAATGACACAAAACCTGTGCTCCTGAGCTGCCTCGGGGGACCTGATTGCCTGGAACATTAACCCCTACCCGGAAAACTTTACCCAGTGCCCCAGGAAGGTCAGAGCCAGGCCTGCCCCCACCTTTGTTCAGTGATTCAAGCTGCAGCACTGACAGCCGTACCCTGGAAGCCGGCTCAGGCGTCAGCATCTCTGTTACTGGCCCTGACCTCATGCAATGGAGTGGACTCTCTCCATTCAGAGCTCGTAGATTACACATGAATAAAACATAACCCTACAGAAACAGCTCGGAACCAGGTGAAAGGCCAGCTATCCCTGTAGACATCCACACACACACACACACAACTCCGAGGCGTGGTGACTTCTTCTGCAAGTTTCAGAAAGTCCAGCCTCTGCTGGGGAATTTAGCTGGATGACCCCTCCAGGGCACAGCTTCTCTGAAAAGCCCTGCTCTGGTCACTCCAGACGCTCACCAGTCCACACATGGCTGCAGTTTGAGGCTACTGTTCACGGGACCGCTCCATACCTACCGCCTTTGATTTTTGTGCTGCTTTTTTTGGCTTCCCTGTCCCTTGCTTGTTGGGAGCCGCAGCCCCGAGCCCGGTCGCCTCACTTGGCGGACGTGAGGCCTGTAGTAAAGAGTAAAGCCTGAGGTAGATTACCCCTCCCATCGAGCACGTTAGTTTCCTGCTTACCGCGTAAGCAACCCGCTCAACAATATAGTCTGCCTGGCAACTGATGATGTTAGCCAATCAGCTTGCCTTGCTTACTTTAACATGATTGGACACTGTATCCGTATATATACTGGTGCCACCCCTGGGGGGGAAGAAGAAGCCCGGAAGTAGAAGCCCAAAAGGAGCCGCGGG